TTTGCTTCCTTCTAATGCAGAAGGCTCCTGCCAAAACCCATTTGGGGTAAGACAGTTGGTTTTCAGTTCTCAAGAGACATGGTTTTTCAAACTCTGAAGAATGTATTTCTGAGAACATGGAGAAAACTGATGACAGGACTGGTAAGAAGAAGTGTAACTCTGTGCTGGCATTAGGTAAGATCAGAGTAGAGCCCTGAGACAGTTTCTTACTGAAAAGGATTTGGAAAAAATATGCGCCCCTCCCTGGTGGCGCAAGGGGTTAAGCACAGCACTATGAGGCTGTCTGCAGCCATTGTAGCACGAGTTTGATCCCTAGCCGGCTGGGGAGCTACCCACATGGCACAACAGACCTCTCCTGTCTCACCTGCCACTCCCCTCAGCAGTGCATTTCAGTCAGTCTACCTGTTCTGCTCCCCACTCTGTCTCTGGTGAATCCTCTCACCCCCTGCATCTCTGACGTATACCCCAGTTCTTGTATGCATAAATAAACAAATCTTAAAAAAAAAAAATAGGATTAACATGTTTGCCCCAGTATTTATTTTTTTAAACCTGCATAAAATTGTTTGGGCCCTCTAACAGGTAAATGCTCATCTCTTCTTTTCTTTTCTTCTCTCTGTCCACCTCCATTATCCAATTCCCCAGCCTATGCAGGACTGCCATTTTCTCCTTTGTAAACAGTTAGTTTTTCATTCGTGTAATGTGTGAGAGGGTAGTAGCAAAAATTAAAGAGAACTTAGGTCTGTATATATTTGCTTATGGATAAAATGAGACTTGGACTATATGAACCCTGGGATTCTTCAAGGTATAATATTTTATTCTTCTTCTATAATCACCAAGCATCTGAGAATGGTGGGGGCTAAGGAGAGAAACCCTCTGTAATTAGGATTATAGGAAAATTTATTTTTTTATTTTCTCATACTTGTCTTCCTGTTTTTCTTTAGTATATTTTTTGTGTGACAAATAGAATGAAATTGGAGGATATCGACACCTGTTCTTGCTCCCATAGAGGAGCTTTCTCTGAAAGTCCAAGGCTTAGGGTTTTACTTAAGAATTTGACTCCTGTGAATTGCCAGTCACCAGTCTTCCTGGCAGGAAGAACTGTCTCTTGACTCTAGGGCAGTTGCTGAGGAAGAAGGACTATGTGTTGATAGTTCCTGATCAGTCACCACAGGTATTTCCTTAGTTTCTTTTATATTGTGCCTGGAGCATGTTATTTTGCCACCAGTTGCATTTTAGGTTTTTGGTAACTGTGACTTCAGCAGTTTGTCTTTCAGAAAACTTACTTTGGAGAAGTTAAGAAAAGATTACCTCTTAACTAGCCAGCCTTTTAGGGAATATCATATTGTGTGGCTAATTTTGGAAACCTGTACGATAATGTAATTGTATAGTTTCTATAATTTCTTTCAAGGAGATAGGGTTCTAGATAATCCAAAGTCCCCAGTTACTGATTCTGTTTTATTCACAACATTTTAACAGCGATTTATCAGATTTGCTGCAATTAGGTGTCCTCTGCTCATTTGGAGACAGGGCTTTTGGAGCCCAGATTTAAAGTGTCACTTTCAGGGCCTCCCTGGTGGCACAGTGGTTGAGCACTGGGTTGCGATGCTGGCCCCAGCCTCTGCAGTGCCGGTTCGATCCCTGGCCGCTGGGTGAGGGTCCCACATGGTGCGCAGACCTCTCTTGCCACCCACTGCTCCCCTCAGCAGTGTACTTCATCAGTCTGCCTGCTCAGCTCTCCCCTCTGGCTCTGGTGAATTCTGTCATCCTCCTGCACTTCTGACTGTACCCAGTGCTTGTATAAATAAATAAATAAATCTTAAAAAAAAAAAAAAAGGTGTCACTTTCAGCTAAGTAGGTCTTCTCTGAGTTGGACTATTTTGGTTGGGAGATGAGTATGGTTTGCTCCTTTGCCTCTTTTTCCTAGACAAAATGTTTCAACGTGTGTTCATTCCCATTTGCCACTACACAGTTTTGGTTTAGTCATGAGAACTTGAGTATAAACACTCCTGAACATTTCCCTAGGACTCTTCAGGTTAGTTCAGACAACTGTTGTTAAAACTGGGAGGAAGTAACACCAGTGGTCTGCTTTTAGCAGCTAGCAGAAAGTTTTCTTTCTGGGCCTCACATGGATTTCTTAAGACTCATTGAAATTGCCTTTAACTATTTATTTTATTCTATATAGTCTGTAGAAATAAGTAGCTATCACTAACACATAGAAAGTTACATAATATAATTAAAGAGAAGTTGCATTTTTTTTTTTTTTTTTTACTACCACTGGCTTGCACGGGAAACTTTCTGTATTTTTACAGGTAATATATACAGAGTCTAAAATTCAAAGCTGTATATCTAAAAGTGACCACTAGGGCCTCCCTGGTGGTACAGTGGGTTAAGACGCAATCTGTGAAGCTATCTGCAGCCTCTGCAGCACACGTTTGATCCCCGGCTGGTCAGGGAGCTACCCATATGGCGCACCTGACCTTTCCTGGCTCACCTGTTGCTCCCCTCAGCAGTGTATTTCAGTCAGCCTGCCTGTTCTGTTCCCCAGTCTGTCTCTGGTGAATCCTCTTACCCCCCACACCTCTGGCTTGTACCCCAGTTCTTGTATGCATAAATAAATAAATCTTTAAAAATAAATAAATAAAAGTGACCACTGGAAATAACCAGTTAGCATTTCATGTTTTCATGTAATTGTGTCACAGGTTATGAATGGTAGCACATCGGACAATTTCAGAGATTAGAAATGTGATAGAATCTCTTTTATTCTACCTTGTCTTATTTAAATTTTTATGAATATTTGTAGGCTGTGGCAGGATTTATTTTTCCTTAAACTATGTAGCCAACATATTCTCTTATGTTACCAGTCTGTTTCCCTGTTTAATATTTGAAAGTTCTTAATAGTTGTCTTTGTAGAGTCTTCACAGTAAGCATTTATTATAGAATGTTATTTTGCAGCATATTACATGGTGTATTTGCAGTGTATTACGTGGTATACGTTTATAACTTTGACAGAATCCAACTTCTAAAATGTAGTGAGAGATTTAATTCGAGGTATGTCAAGAATGCTTTTCTATATCTGAAAGTGAATATTCAGATATTAAAAACAAATCTGATATGTTTAAGTTCCAATTGAAGGAACTCAGTAAATAGTTTCTTTTGACAACCAGGACTGAGAAATTTGGGAACTGGTATGTTCAAATGGGTCACATAAAGAAGCGAGAGCCACGCTATTAAAGAAATGAGAATAATAAAGTTGATGTCAAAGGCAAGTGGGAAAGAGGGACCCTCTCTTGGATCCTGCTGCTTCTCTGGCACCTGGATCCAACAATTCTCCCTTTGTGCTTAAGCTACCTTGGGTGGGTTTCTGTTCCTTGTAACTATTCTGTTACTTAATCTGTTAATTAATCAGAACAGGATAAAGTGGGAAGCAATTAAATACAGAAGTGAGGTCCCAGAAAACAGAAGAAAAAAATCAATCAGATCTTTTTGGTTTGTCATTGAGATTGTTACAGTGATTAGTCTCATGGTACCCCACATAATCATGTGATCATACTTGCAGGGCCTTAGGCCAGAAACTTGGTGCAGCCTGTATACTGTTATTCTGAGCTAGGGTGGAGGGTGAGGCAGTCATACTAGTTGTCTCACTTTATCCTGGCCATCTCAGGGGAGACCATCACTGCCATTCTAACAAGGAGAACCTTGAGGTGTATAGCTTGTTTAAACTCAGACTCAGCTCTGAAATGGCCAAACCCAGATTCCGGTTTCAAGCCTGCAGATTCTAGGCCCTGCATGTTTGACATCTAGACATGTGTTTCAAAAAATGCTCTTCCCAAAGATCCTGGCTTTCTATTTTGACTGGAAATTCTTATTTTATGGCCAATTATGTGAATTTTCACAAGTCTGGGGTTCCATGACTGAAAACCTCACTGGATCCAGCATCCTAAATAGCATTTAACAGCCTTGTGGTCCATTTGTGTAGGGTAGTTTCTTTAACATTGTTGTCTGATCTTTTGGCCTCATTTTTTTTACATCAGAAATGTGGATCTGAGAGAATACTTGTCTGAAGAAGTACAGGCAGTACACAAGAATACCACTTATGACCTCATTGCCAACATTGTTCACGATGGCAAGCCCTCGGAGGGCTCCTACCGGATCCATGTACTTCATCATGTAAGTGGCAAAAACAGCTGTACTGTTGGTATTTTAGAGGGCAGCTGCTTTCTGTTTGTGCTTTCTTGGCCTTGACTTTGGGATTCTGCATCTAATAGAGCTGTCAGTGTTTAGTTTAAGGCAGTGATTCTCAATTTTGGCTCCACATTGGACTCATCTGTAGAGATTTAAAAAATCCTGATGCCTGTGGTTTTCAACCAGGATAGAGACCAGGGACGCTGCAGAAGCTCCTAACAGTGTCCATGGCAGCCCTCCCACAGCATATGGGCCCAAAATGTCCATCAAGGTAAAGACTCTGCATTAGATTACCTGGAGGTGGCACCCAGGCAGTGTGATGCTGCAAAGGTGACTAGTGTGCAACTAAGGTTGAGAACCACTGTCATACCTTAGAACTTGGCACCTAATATGGGCTCCTCAGTTCAGCAGTGTTGACATTGTTGGAGGTTTGCAGTTATGTAATCCCAGACTTGTTAGAAATGCAGAATCTTGGGCCTCCCCTGGTGGTGCAGCGGTTGAGTGCTGGGCTGCTAAGCTGCCAGCAGCCTCTGCAGCGCTGGTTCGATCCCCGGCCGCCGGCAAGGGTCCCACATGGTGTGCAGACCTCTCCTGCCGCGCCTGCTGCTCCCCTCAGAGTGTACTTCATCAGTCTACCTGTTCTGTTCCCCGCTCTGGCTCTGGTGCATTCTCTCACCCTCCCGCACTTCTGACCGTACCCAGTGCTTGTATAAATAAATAAATAAATAAATCTTTTTAAAAAAGAAAAAAGAAATGCAGAATCTTGATGTAAATATATATATGTAAATAAATACTAAAAAAAAAAAAAAAAAAGGAATGCAGAATCTCAGACCCTACCCAAAACTGAACCAGAATCTGCATTTTAGTAAGACCTGATTTATTTGAAATTTGTGAAGCACTGGTGTAAAAGATTCCTTTCAGCTCAAAAATACTGTGAATTTATTTCAAACTGAAAATGGATAAAACATGTACATGAGATATAATTGATATTGCAGGGAATATCAGCACAGATTGTTCTAATTTGTGAGTCCCAGTCTCTTCTAGGATTGTGGGATAATAATAACTAGCTTCTGTTTATCAGACATTTTATTGTGTCTGGAAAGGATGCCAAGTGCTTACTGTATATAGCATCTCACATGCTTCACACAGACTTCCAAGACAGGGGTCAATGCCATCTTTTATGGATGAGGGAGCCTAGGCCTAGAGTTGGAATAATTTATTTGCAGCAGTAGAATTGGGGTTTGAACCTAGAAACTTGGTTTCACTGTGCCGTTAACCGGTCCTTGAACTGGAACAGGGACTTGATTACGATCTTGAGCTTTCTTTATGTTTCCTACAGTTTGCACTGGTGGAACACCCATAATACTAGAATACCTGTACTCTCTAGTATCTTGTCTTTGGCATTTCTTAGAATGGGTGGATGAGGCAGTTGAGCATCCCAAAGTGACTGCCATATCCAGAAACCTCTTTTTCCTCTATGGAAGCAGGAAGTGAGGTAGATTTTGGTTGTATTTGCCACATTAGTTTCACAGGTGAGAGGAATTGGATTAGTATGGTAGACAGTGTCTTTCAGTTGCTTTGTTCTCTGGGGTAGGGCGTGGGAATGTCTGCTTTTAATTCCTCTGATGGGTTAACACCGCACCTAGCCTGTCCGTTCTGAGCAGTAAGGCGACCTCTTAGGTGAGGACTAAAGAGTATCAGTGTTTTTTTCTTTTTATTGTCCACCCAAGTTCTAAAAAGGTGTACCGAGTGTTTGAGAGTCCGTCGTGCTTCAGGTAACTCTTGCCAGGCATTGAGTCTGCCATGATCAATACCCAACTGTTCTTTAAGTTGAATGATGCCCAGCAAAGGTCATGCCCTCTTTATTCATGACTTTTGTTTGATGATGGTCTGGTGGTTGTTTCTCTGACTTGTTGACTGCATCCCTTGCTTCTGTACTCTTCATACTTTTGCAGGGGACAGGCAAATGGTATGAATTACAGGACCTCCAGGTGACTGACATCCTTCCCCAGATGATCACGCTATCAGAGGCTTACATTCAGGTGGGTTGGCCACAGACTTAGTGAGTGCTGAGTAGTTGGGGTGTGAGGGATATTGTGAGTGATGGCAGGAAGTGGGGTTAACTTAGAGTCACGTTTAGGTACCTGTGGTAGATCTGAAAATGCATTGAGGAGTGAGGTGGGACTTTCAGAGAGGGGTGGGCAAACGCTCCCCAGTTCCCTAGGCACAGTCAGCACTTTTGGTGACTCACAGCACTTCCTGCATGTCTGTTGGTACACCGAGCATATTGTTTTAACTGTCTTCTCCAGTGGATTGAGAGATTGTGGAGCAGATTATCTCTCCCGTCTCTTGCTAACTGCCCTAGGACGTGGCAAAAAAGGAAGACTGAAACTAAGAAAAAGCCCTAGCCTTTGTAAGAAGGATGAGTAACCTCACTGCGTCAAGAGATAACTTTCCTCAGCCACTTTGTCTGAGGTTGTTGACTTGACTATGAGTTCTTTTTCAGAAAGGAAGTTTGGAATGGGAGGTAGGAGAGGAAGAGGAAGGGTGGGAAAATGAAAATCAGATGAAAGGGAAATTTTTGAAAGATTATAGATAAGTTTCATGAGGGGGCTAGCAGATATTTAAGGGGTGGATATTTAAGTGGGGTGGCGGGCTATCCACTGCTGATTGCAGAGAGGTATTTAATAAATACCAGCTCCTAAATATCTGTTATATTCATTTCTTACAGATTTGGAAGAGGCGAGATAATGATGAAACTAACCAGCAAGGAGCTTGAGGAGTGTCTAGGACTTTGCTCTAGGGCTTTTGACCATAGATGATAAATAATAACTGAAGCTGTAACTGAACATTCATTGGGCAACCCACTTTTTATGAATCCTGGTTCACACCAGAGCAGCAGAGGGGCCACCCCCCTGGAGGGTTCTGCACTGTCACCCAGCCATTCTCTTACCAGTTTACTGTAGACTGACCCTCCTTTCCCATCCTGTCTAGCGCCCTGCTAGCTCCCTTCCAGCTTTAGCAGACCAGAACTCTTTTACAGAGGTATGTAATTTATTTCTGAGTAGCTGGGCGTACCTAAAAGACAAGATAATTTCTTTTAAGCATCAAAGTCTCAGGATTCTAGGAATAAGAGCATGAAGCCAGTAATGTCCTCCTTCCATCACAGATAATTCCTGCAGTCTCCTCATTTCCCTGTGTGTTTTTTGGAATGGATTAAATTTTTTCCTGTTTTTAAACCAGCCTCTTGTTTTATATCTTTCCATGAGACAGGGAAGATTTTTTATAAATCTGACAAACTGTCAACTTACAGACTGTCATACAATCTTGTTGCTAACTGTCAGCTTGTGAGTGGTGTGTCAGTTAGGATGCATATGTCTCTTCAGTAACAAAATAATCTGATTAAAAGTGATAAATTATTTTGTGCTTAACTAGAAGTCTGGAGGTGGGCGATTTCAGTCTGCAGGGCAGGGCTGTGTGAGGGAAGAAGGAAGATAGGAGTATCTGCCTGTGCCAGGCCAGCATGGGCCCCCGAGCAAAGATCGCTTGTGAAAAGAATCAAGTAGAAATGGCTTTCCCAGGACCAGTCATGGGTTAGAAACAACCCAGAGGAAGGGAGCCTGGGCCTGAACACAGTGGCAGATCTGAAGCCTCAGCTGCCGGCAGCAGCCCGTCAGCCATAGCAGGCTCTCCTACGGTGCAGGAGCCGTGCAGCTCTGCACGCTGTACTTCTGAGAGTCAGAAGGCTGTCCTTATTCTCCTCTGCCTCTCTGGCAACTTCACCCTTTCCTTGAGTAAAGCATGTCAGAATGATAAAAACAAATACTGGACATTTCCACTCCTGAAATTTCTATAATGTAAAGCACTTTAAAAAACCAGTGGATATCATGTAAACATCCTCAGGATTCTGAGCCTAAGAGGGAGGGGAGTGGGGTAGAGGATGGGGTATAAGGGGAGGGGGGAGGTGGTGGAGTTAAAAAAGAAATGCCTGTGATTGACTTAAAATAATTCTTAACCAATTTGTGAAAAGATCATGCAATGAAACAAATTTCAGTCTAAAATAAAGCAAAATCCCACCCCCTGACAAAAACAAAAAAAAGAACTTTTTCTAAAGATAATTCTTTTTTGCTTGTAGCTTTAAAAAAATTCCTTTATAGGCTCATCTTCTCTATCCAGCTATTGAAAGTTGCATTTCCTCAGGACTCAGTCTCGATCCTCTGTTCTTCCAGTTTGCTTTTCTGTTAGGCCATTTCAACTATGTCTATGGTTTCATGTACCACCTCTACAGGGATGACTCACGTCTTAATCCCAGATTTCTCTGAATTCTTGAACTTTAGTGCATACTCCCTACTTGATATATTTTGGGTGTCTTAAAGTCAATCCAAACGCCTTTCTTTGAAAACTCAACTTGTGGGGCCTCTCCGGTGGCGCAGCAGTTGAGCGCTGGGTTGCGAAGCTGCCCGCAGCCTCTGCAGCGCTGGTTCGATTCCCGGCCGCCAGGTGAGGGTCCCACATGGCGCGCAGACCTCTCCTGCCGCCCGCTGCTCCCCTCAGCAGTGTACTTCAGTCCTTCTGCCTGCTCTGCTCTCCCCTCTGGCTCTGGTGAATTCTCTTACCCTCCTGCGCTTCTGACTGTACCCAGTGCTTGTATAAATAAATAAATATATCTTTAAAAAAAAAAAAAAAACTCGTGAGTTTTCCTCTTCAACATGGGGCCCAAGTGTTTGCTATGTAAGTGACAAGTGACAAGTTCCACTATCCTTCCAATTACATAAACTGGAAATTTATCCAGCAGTTATCCTCTCTCCACCCCTACCCCCACTGCCCTGGCCTCATCTATAAGTCCTGTCAGTACCACTTTGCCTCTTGAATCTTCCCACTTCTTTTCATCTTCCTTCTGCTGCTGTCTAGTCTAAGCTTAGTGGCAGCTTAGTCTGTGTCTAATCAGGAGAGAGAAACTGCAATAATGGGATCAGGGAAAGTTTAATTTCAAGAATTATTAACAGATTCTAATAACCATGGTATGACTAGTAATGAACTCTAAGAATGTACTGCCAGCAGATAGAAACATCAGCTGCTGCCCCTAGGGCTGACACAGTGTCCAAGAGTGAGATCCAGACCTTGTTGAAATTCTTGCCCTAGAACTTGTCAGAAATCTGCTTTCTAGCATGTTGGAGAAAACTCTTCCTGGGGCGGCATCTTATTAAGCTACCAAGCAGCCTGGGGAGAAAGGTAGTACCTTCTGAAACTTTGGGGTGATGCTGCTGTATGCTAACAACCAGGCATCTGGAAATCTTGAAGGAGTTCGACGCTAGAAAAAGTCACAGATGCGTCTCTCAAATTGGTACACCAGAACTGGGAAGCAGAGCTCTTCCTGCAGTGTGTCACCAGCAACATATTCTGACAAAGCTGTCAAGAAAAAAATCTAAAGTGTCGAAATCCATTTTCACAGAGAAGGCAAAGAAGGTGAATTTGGAGCTGAGACGTCACTACATTAATGACTGCCACCACCCACCCCTTTGATGACTCAGTTTCCATATGTTTTCTTGTACACATATATACAACAACAAGGAGAACAACTGTATTTTTGCCTAACAATAAACAGCTACCCTTCCGACAAGTGAGCAGATTTTCATGCTTTCCCAAAATGAGATGCACAGTATGGAATGTCAGGGATCATTCCTGTCACAATCCCATTGAATATTCTGTTACCGAAAGACTTAAGTTGTAAAGTTAGCTTCCAACAAGTTATATATAGGGTAAAAATGGGAAGAAAGAAATAAGCAAAGCTACTTAAGAGCACTCGTGTTTGGTCACAATGCTATAATTGCTTCATTTTATTTTTGCATAGAACTGGGATATAGGGCCTCCCCGGTGGCGCAGCGGTTGAGCGCTGGGTTGCGAAACTGCGCGCGGCCTCTGCGGCGCCGGTTCGATCCCCGGCTGCTCCCCGGCCACCGGAGGAGGATCCCACATGGCGTGCAGACCTCTCCTGCCGCCCGCTGCTCCCCTCAGCAGTGTACCTCGGTCCTTCTGCCTGCTCTGCTCCCCGCTCTGGCTCTGGTGAATTCTCTCACCCTCCCTCCCGCACTTCGGACTGTACCCAGTGCATGTATAAACAAAACAAACAAACAAACCAGCAAACAAATAAATAAAGCATGCCTCTATTAAAAAAAAAAAAAAAAAAAAAGTTTAAAAAAAAAAAAAAAAAAAAAACTGGGATATAGGCCAGAGGTGTGGGGGTGGGGGGTAGGAGGTTTTACCAGAGACAGAGTTGGGAACAGAACAGTGAAATACACTGCTAAGGACAGCAGCCAGCAAGACAGGAAGAGATCAGCTGTGCCATACGTAGGATCCAACTCAGGTAATGGCTGGGCTGTTGTGATAGTTCTGAGAATTAACCGCTAGGCCACTAGAGAGGCCCAGTTGCTTCCTTCTTAACGCTGCCACTTCCCTATTTACTTTGCTTTTAGCCTGCTCTTCGGCTAACTGGTAGAGTGACTCAAACCTTTAATTTTTAAGGGCCTGACTAATGCTGACCGCCCCCTCTTTTGGTTACTGTAGTTTTCCATTAACTTTTTCTTTTTTTTTAAAGATTTATTTATTTATACATGCACTGGGTACAGTCAGAAGCTCAGGAGGGTGAGAGAATTCACCAGAGCCAGAGCAGAGAGCAAAACAGGCAGAAAGACCAAAGTACACTGCTGAGGGGAGCAGCGGGCGGCAGGAGAGGTCTGCGCGCCACGTGGGACCCTCGCCTGGCAGCCGGGGATCGAACCGGTGCTGCAGAGGCTGCGGGCAGCTTCGCAACCCAGTGCTCAACCGCTGCGCCACCGGGGAGGCCCCCATTAACTTTTTCTTAACAGAGTTCATTTTGCCGTCCATTATTTAGTAGCAACCCAATCTTCCCTTGGTCTTCAGGATCAGTCACTCTGACAAATGGATTATACTTCCCCTTTCAATAGCATAAGAAGCCCAAAGTTTCCAGGTAATGGTCTCACCTCCAATTGAGGGAACATATTTTGTGTCCTCTGATGGAAGCATTCCTCTCCTGGGAACTAATTAGCAGAGGGTAAAGTTGCTGGGAAGGAAATAAATTCTTCAAGAAGGTTGCTCAGTGTAATTTCTCAATTGCTTCAGCACTCATTCATTTTCTAGACCTGTATATTTTGGTTATGGGGGAAAGAACCTTAAGTAATCTCTGATTCAAAGCATATGCTGCATGCTGTAAATAAGAGCATCGGGTATGACTGTAACTGAGACTTCAGTAAGCCCCTCCACCTTTCAGTGAGGCTAGCTGCTTCCAGATGATGTTAAGTGTGATAAAACCAGTTAATTCGATAGACATGGGCCCACAGCTATACTTATTTGCTGTGAGGAGTTGTTGGTCAGATATAAGCTGTGTGGAATGTCATGGCCACTAAGGCATTCTATGAGGCCATGTATGGTGGTGCTGGCAGAAACATGGACAGGGGAGAAAAATCCACATCCAGAATAAGCTGTTCTTCCCAGTTTGGATCTCTGCCTTCTCCATGATGGAAGATGGTAATTAGCTTGGTAACCAGGTGGCTGGTTGATCCCCACAGGGACTGGTGCCATTGAAGACTCAATAGTTAATCCTTGCAGTTGGCAGCTTAGATTCTCAGCAGAGTACTTGTCAAACCAGGGGAAGGGAAAAATCAACTGGTGAAGCATGCATAGCTTCCAACCTCACCACCATGGCTCATGAGCCGTTGAATATCCCTGGGAGTGACTGGAGAAAGGCTGCTGACTGACATCTGCAGAGCATGCCATTTGTCTATACCTGATAATTAAGTGTCCTCTGCAATGGATGCCTTTTGGTGGGCATTCATGTGAAACACAAATATTCATAGTGTGTCCTCATTCAAGCAGTCTATCCATATACCTCTTCTCCCAGACTTCTTTTTCACCAATCTTACAATCTTGTTCTTTTTGAATCCCTGACCATCCTGCCAAGCCATTGGCAATGCCCATCAGTTAGTCTAGATCTGTAATTCTTGGCCACACACTCCTGCTATAGTGAATAATCAGAACTACTGCTTGACGTTATGCCCCCTAGAGGACTTTTCTCCACCGCTGTCCTTGAGTGGGCATGAAGCTGACTACTTGAAGTTGTAACAACATATTGTACCAATCTACCTATCAACCAGACTTGAGTTTTTCCTTTCTGGATGCTGCTTCCTCATTTTTCTCTGGTGGGCACAGGATGTTGGGTGTGTCTCGGGCACCCTCTGAGCCAAAGTTCTGGCCACTTCCTGCCAGTTCTCTTCTACCAACTATTAAACTCACCTTTTTTTTTTTTTTTTTTAGAAGCATGCTTTATTTATTTATTTATTTGTTTGTTTGTTTTGTTTATACATGCACTGGGTACAGTCAGAAGCGCGGGAGGGTGAGAGAATTCACCAGAGCCAGAGCGGGGAGCAGAGCAGGCAGAAGGGCCGAAGTACACTGCTGAGGGGAGCAGCGGGCGGCAGGAGAGGTCTGCGCGCCATGTGGGACCCTCCTCTGGTGGCCGGGAAGCAGCCGGGGATCGAACCGGCGCCACAGAGGCTGCGGGCAGCTTCGCAACCCAGTGCTCAACCGCTGCGCCACCGGGGAGGCCCTATTAAACTCACCTTTTGAGTGAAGTTTTCTCTTCCATTCCAAACTTTTTTTTAAAAACACTTTTCCCTCAAGGACCTTGTTATAATTGAAATAGTGGCTCTCAAGAGTATAGTCTGCTACAGATTTACACATCTACTTAAAAGTTCAAATTCAGAGACCAAGAGTTTATATATATCATCGTGACGTCAAGAGCAGGTTGTGTAGAAACCTCTCTGTGGTGCCTGTGTGGTGGAGGGTGGGTGGGGCAGATGGCAAAAAGTCTGTATCGGTGTCAAAGTCCTGCTGCAGTTCTCCCTGGGGTCTGCTAGGACTGTGGGTGGTTTCCACTCTTCCTTTGCAGATTCTGTAATTTCTACAGCAAACATGTATTCCTTTTATAATAGGAAATATGACAAAACTTCTTTTATAAATAAATGGGTGTTTCCAGGCATTTAGGTTTTCAATGCCAAGGGCTTATTTCCTTTGATGTTTTAGTACGCTAACCTCACCTCATCATAGCAAGAAGTGCAGATGACTTTGGGAGAGTGCAGATGACATGTAGGGAGGGGACGCAGGCTGGAGGCAGTTGTAAGAGGCAAGATGTGTGGCTCTACTTCTCCAGGGAAGAGAGTGAGGTGGGCCCCCGGTCCTGCAGCCTTGAGGGCGAGGCTATGGCTTTTGCACATCTTAAAGAGCAGTGTCTTTTTCTTTTTTAATACAAGGAATAGGACTTTATTAGCATTGTTACAGATATTGCATTACATAGAACTGGCAAGTGCAACCCCAACTGGGCTTTGACTAGGCTACATCAGCAGAAGTGGAATCACCATGGAATTTCAAACAAATGTTAGAAGCTAACAGACAAAAAAGAAAGTTCCTTTTTACATCTTAAAGTGACAACTCTTATACAAGCAGAGTATTTCAATATGAAAGTTTGCCCAGTCACCTTCCCATCATGCTTAAACACTGCAATGTCTACCCTTGACTGTGCCAAAGATTTCTGGATTTTTAAAGAAAGTTTAAGGATTTCATGTTGATCTTTTATAGTACTTTATATTCCTATTTTTTATTCTGAATTTTGAATTGTATGAAAGTGTCAGCAAAACAATTATAAAAGCCAGTATCTTGAACACATGGAAATCAGAATGAGGCCAGGCCTGGCTTATACCCCATTGTCCTCTTGGGGCCGGGAAAGGACTATGTGACCGACGAGTGCAGTCCTGGGGGCCGGTAGGAGCTGGGCTGGCTCTGGTGGGGTACGAAGGCTGGCCTTGGCTGGAAGCCTCCTCTCACAGACCTCCAGTAGACATTGTACTGTTGCCCTCACACCCGGAGAAGACGGAAATGGCTGTGGTTGGAGATAGGATAGATAAGACAAACAGGACTAAATGTACAAGTTGTGGATTTGTGGTTCACCAGTTTAAAGTAGTTTCGAGGAAAGGAGGTGGGGAAGGTGAGGGGAGGAGTTAAGGCTTCTCTTTCAGTATGGGCAGGAGGCAAGAAGTCTGAGGAAGGGCCTTGTCATGTGGGAGAGCTTGAGTCTGGTGACCTTCTCACTCAACTCTTCCATTGAAGCTGAGGAAAATGAGGGTCAGAGAGGAGGGTGACCTGTCTTGCCTGGGGGCCCATGGTCAGTTGATGACAGAGTTGGGACCACAACCCAGGCCTCCCACGCCAACCTACTCTTTCTGTTTCAATAGAGGTAGAAGGGTCAGCTCTTCCTGGTGCTGGGAGCACTGAGGGAAGGTGAGGGCTCCAGTCTCCTGGACAGCTCCAGACCTGCAGATGCCCCTAGTTGTCCTCAGTGGGAGGGGGGGGGTAACACTAAACTGGCCCCTGTGGGATAGGTCTGAGTTGGGCTTGACACTTCCTCTCCACTACCTCCTACACTGGCTTGGATTTGGAGTAGTTTGAGGACCATATCTGGGCTTCCTACTTTCAGACGGAAGAGGTGGGCCCTGGGGTGTGAGCTCCAGGAGGGCCAGGGATCACTTTTATTCACATATATAACCCTTTCCCCTGGAATGTAACCTGGTCACAGGTACACACTATATCGCAAAAAAAAAAAAAAAAAAAAAAAAAAAAAAAAAAAAAGCCAATAAATTAATAAATGACCGTCAGGTTAGAGGCCAGCTCTGAGAATAATTGTAAAGTGGACGGGTTTGCTCTCAGGGGCACTTCAAGGCCACCATTGCTGGGTCCATCTCTTAGGGTGGTTTCCCTTCCCTGAGGCAACTGGTCACAGAGCCTGCATGTGACCCATCCCTCCATCTGAGGGGTCTATGTCCAACACTGCCTAGTTTCCCCTGAGTTTCAGATAAGGTTGGTCTTGGTTCAAACACATCAGATACTGAAGATCAGCCAGTCCAGAGGGTAGGCTGTGAGCCTCAGGCTAGCACTGGGACAGGGCAAGCTAGCTGGGAGCTTAGAATCTGAGAGGGTGTGAACAGGTCATTCCATGAAGGCCCAGCCAGAAGCCCTCAGGATCCTTGGGGTGTGGCCTGTAGGGAGGAGGAGGGAGCAGCCAACAGTGGTGACTGGCTGCTCCTGCTTGGGGAACAGAGGATCCCCCCTTGCCATCCTGATGGGTGCCGGACCTGCCCCCCTCTACCTCCCCTCACTTGCAGGCCTGGACTTACCTGGAAGGACTTTGAGTTCTCGTCAGAAATGGGAGCTGTGGGCACACTGGAGAGGGCTCTCTGTGGTCTTACATGCCCCCAGGACCTGCCACAGGGACAGCATTAGTGCCTGAGACCTGGTGCCCTGCCCCCCATTCCCAATTCTGAAGTGTTGAGGAGAGTCCTCCTGGAAGGGGTGGCTCTCACTCTACCTGCCACCTGGTGGATGCTCTTGGTGTGACCTCACTGACTCCCTTGGGACACTCCCAAGCCATGGGCCTCTGGTTTTAAGCTGGAGGAGGTGGGGTGCTTGGCCCAGAACATCCTTTGCACCTCCGCACCTCCACCAGCTCACACTGCTTAGTGAGCAACATCCATCCCATAATTGCATCAAACTATACTCCTTAAAACTGCTCCCTCCCTTCCCATCTTTTTCTACCCTTTTGTGGCTTTTTCCTGACTCTGAAACTACCTCTTCTATGTTAAAACATTGGGGTAGGGCTACCCCCCAATCCTGGGTCTGTGTTCTCTGGGGCTGCCCTGCACTCAGGACTGTGCAGCCTCTGAGGATCACGGACCAGAGAGAGTAGGGGCTTTGTGGATGAAGAGAGTCATACCTGGCAGGCAGAGTAGGCATCCCAGCCCTTGGACACTAGGGTCTGCAGCTGGGGCATGTGCTGATCTGCAAACTGCTCACACTGAGGAAGGAAATAGACACAGATTGGGTGTGGGGGCCCAGGCCTGGTGATACATGGCCAGCCTGGCCTCTCCACTTATCTGGATGCTTTCAGGGCTCCCCAGACCCAATGTAGCTCAAACATCAGGCCCCACTGAGAAGCTCTGTCTATACAACTGAACAAGCCGGGACACTGGAGAGAGAGAGGGTCTTAAACCAGGCAGAGGGGCAGAATCTAATCCACCTGCTTCCCCTCCTCCCAAATTTCAGTTCTGGAAGAAATCCTAAAGTTCATCAAATCTTTGAGAGCTGGTGGGGTGAGAGAGGGGGCCCTGAAAGTCATGGGGCAGGCGGTACCAGGCAGAAAGCTGCCCCTGGCAGGAGTCAGTAGGCTGCCTCAGATCTTCCTTTATGGGGGGATTTACTGTCACTGACTCCGAGGGCTGAGACTTGCAGACCCTTAAGCCCAGCTGTCTTGCAGGTGGCTTTGTCCTTAGTGAGTCACACCAGCACAAGGACCAGGGTCTGTCCCACTCCAGGGTACCCTGGGGTTACTCATCTCAGTTGGCTGTGCTCTTCATTAGAGAGGCCTGCTGGTCTTCCAGGGCCCAGACCCTTGGTCCAGAGTTGACTCTTGGCCTTAGGTTCACCCTAAGTTACATTCCCACCACTGTTTGTCCCACATCCTGCCTGAGCTCTTCAAAGGTAGGGGTCCAGCCCACTCTTGCATATCTCTGGCAGGAGAACTTTTCCTGGGCTCATCCCTCCACCCCAACCAGGGCCTGGGTCCTCTATTAATGAGCCCACCACGAACCTTTGGCCTGTTCAGCCAGGAGCCGAGGCAGGCCAGGTGGATTGCCTGGGGAATGGCCTGGGGCATGGCCTGCTCGCTGCTGTTCCCTGCCTGGGTGGCCACAAGCATGCAGAGGCGGCACGAGGAGTCTTGAGGTAGCCAATCTCTTGACGGGGACTGCAGAGGAGCGAGGGCTAGAGAGAAAACAGCCAAGGCTGTCCTGCTGAGTTTCCTGTCCTTACTGGTGCAGCACGTGGGCTGGAGAGGGAGGGTTGTGTGGCGCCAGGGCAGGGGAGGATGAGAGTAGGGGCCAGGGTAGCAGGCTCACCTAGGCCAGCGCCATCCTCGCTGGAACACCGGAGGATGAGGCCACAGACCACCTGGGGTAGCACGCGGCCCAGCAGCGCCTCGAGCAGAATGACAGTGTAGCGCTCAGCCAGGCACTGGCAGATACCGCCCACCACCATGGGCACCACGTGGCACACCTGGGCCACAGCCATGCCCAGCACACCCTAGGGAGGGGCCGAGAGAGGGCAGGATGGGACCTTCCCATGCAAGATCTACTCTGTGCCCAGCACCACGGGGCACTTCGTAGACATTCCCTCGTTCCCTTCCCTAACACTATAGATAAGGACAGCGTGCACTGAACAGTCCAGGGGGTTCCCCCAGAGTCCTGAAACAAATCATGGAGCCGGGCCATGGCCACAGCTTTGACTCCGCAGGCTCTAGAAGAGCAGAGAGGGATGTAACTGGCAGAAAGGGAGTGTTGCCAAGGACCCTTTGCAACCTGGGGCAGACCTTGAACCAGACCTGTCTTCTCCCTCCTGACCCAGGGCTTGCCGTGCTCTCTAGGTCTCAGCTTAATTGTCATTCCTCAGAGACTGTCCCTGAGCAACCAGCAGTAACCCTTCTCCCCTCACTGTCCATCACCTCATCTATTCTCTGCTTGAACCTAATATCCGGAACATCGCTCCCGCCCCAAAGCACGCTCAGGGAGGCTAATGGGCAGCTTCTTACATGGGCCCCCCTTTAGGGCGGCAGTCTTGGGCTGATGGGACTACTGGGTGATGTCACCACAGGTCTGGAAGACTCCAAATTTGGCACAGGCTGGGGGCTCGGGGGGAGTCCCATCTGTGGAAGTTTTCCCTTTGAAAATTAAAAGCAACTGGGGCTTCTCCATCAGATGGTGAGCTGCCAGAGGACAAGCCCTGGCCTTGTCCATTTTCATACTTGACAGTGGCGTTGTGCCTGGCCTATAGTGGGGTCTTCATGTTTGCTGAGTGTGCTCTAGGCCAGGCAGGTACTGGGTCTGAGCTGCACCTGCGGTCTGCTGGGTATAAATGGAGCTGCGGGGGGTGGGGGCGCCATGTTGAGCTTCTGTGAACCGGGATGCCTCACCTTGGGAACCACAGATTGGATCCGCTTGATCAGAGTACGACAGAGCCAGCAGAAGGGGAGGGGGATGGGGAACCGCTGCTCAGAGAGATCCTGGGGAGAGAATCGTCGGTGGAGACCAGGCAGGGCACAGGGAGAAGGCTCTTCGCTGCTGTTTCCCCTACTCTCCCCTCTCCAGCTCCTCCTTACACCCCCAGGCCCAAGTGTCCATTGGCCTTGCCTCTGGCTACCTCTCTGGATTTCCACCTATCTGGTGGAGGGGCCACCACTGTGGGGACTCCCTCACCTGTGTGTGAGGCCCGGGCTGTGACTGGAGGGCAACAGTCTGCAGGGGGAGGACCATCTTGTCCAGCAGAGGGTCCAGCTGCTCTGGCTCCTGCCCTGGCTCTGGAAACCTGGTTGTGCACAGGCCCAGGTGCTCGCAGATGGCCTTTGTGTTCTAGGGCACAATGCAGGGTGCAGGACATTTGAGGGGGAAGCCCACACTTGCTCAGGCTGAAGGACTCCAGGACCAGAGCCACTCTCTTTGGGCTGGGATGGTGAGGTGCCTGCTGGGTGGGGGCCCGTGAGTTGGGGCTCTGTGGTTGGGGTCAGGGGAGAGTGAAGGCAGAGAAAGAGCTGTGTGGGAACTTTGGGACGGGTGTCTGGGAATGTGTGTGAATGAGAGTAAACGTGTGTTTTTAAAAATGGGTATGTGAGAGGATATGTTTGTACATGTGAGTGTGTGTGGGGTTTGTGACAGAGGGAGCGTGTGACAATGTGTGTGAGGGTGTGAGGCATGTGTGCTTGAATGTTTGTAGGCCTGCACACAGCTGAGCAGATGGGCCTGTGATCAGGGCCTGGCTGAGGGCACTGAGTCTTCCGGCCTTATTGTAGGCAGGTCTAAGAGTGGGTAAAATGTGAGAATGTGGGTAAGAGTGTGAGGGGTGTGTGTTGGATGGTTGGGTTATGTGCGTAACTGTGGGTGTGAGTGGGCATTGGGTGCAGTTTGGGAGGGCAGGCTGGAAGTGGTGTGGGTGGGCCCTCACAATGCGGTCCTGGAAGTAGCTGACGACCAGCGGGAAGTAGAAGTCGAGGATTTGGTGGCACTGGGGCACGAGCAGCTTCAAGGGGAGGTTGTCACACTCACGCTCCAGGAACTTCCGCATCGTGTTCTGGGATGCAGAGGGGGCAACAAGAACAGAGGTGAGAGAGTCAGCCTGACCTCTCTGATGTCTGACCCCTCCAAGGCCCCCGCTTCCAAGTCCCCACACACAGGGCCACCACCAGGGCACAGTGGCCACCCTTTCCCAGGGCACCAGAGTTCAGCGTGCCAAGGAGTTAAGCAGCTGTCCACATTTTCCCCCAGGAAAGACCATCCCTAGCTGTGCTGCTGAGCTCTGGGCCAGGGCTTTCCACTGGTCAGGAGGTACCTAGAGTCCTCAGCCAGGCCACATCCTCAGCCTGGAGCCAGCCCATTTACGGCTTAACCCTTTCTCCCTGCTCTATCTCAAGTGTTGAACCCCAGGCTGCATCCAGGATCTGTGTTTCATCACCTGGAAAATGACCTCCTTGGTCATCTTGATGAGGAGCGGAACGATGGTCTCACATTCCTGGCACAGGTCATCCTGGGAAGGGAGCCCCAATGTGGGGGTATATATGGAGGCATGATCCCAGCACAGGTAGATGAGGCTCTTTAGGTAGAGACTGATAGGGTGCTCCAAGGCACAGGCAACTGCTCTCCATCCCATAGCATCCCACCCTACCCCAACCCACCCCACCCCACCTCATCCCACCCAACCCCATCCCATCCATCCATCCATCCATCATCATATCCCATCCCATCCCATCCCATCCCATCCCACCCCACCCCACCCCATCCCACCCCATCACACCCATCCCACCCATCCCATCCCATCCCATCCCATCCCATCCCATCCCATCCCATCCCATCCCATCCCATCCCCATCCCATCCCATCCCATCCCACCCCCATCCCATCCCACCCACCCCACCCCATCCCATCCCATCCCATCCCATCCCATCCCATCCATCCATCCTATCCCCTATGGGGGCTCCAACCTCTCAGGTCTATCCAGAGCCTACCCACCACCTTCTCTCCGAGCCCTTTGGTGTCTATCTATTCTCGGGTGGTACTCACGGCTTCCGCATTTCCCCAGACTTCCTGTAGGCAGTACCCCAGGGTTCTGCACTGCAGTGCTTGCTCCAGGCTTTGGCACCAGAATTTGGGGCCCTGGGTACAGGCCACGGATGAGGTGGTCCCGACAGCTTCTATTTGGGGCCAGAATAACCTTGGGATCCAGACCACTTTTAGCACCTTGACTTCACCCACCCACCAAACCCAGTTTTACTGGGCGCTCACAGACATTAAATACATGGGAGTCAGACAACCCTGGGTCTCCCTGCTCTAGTGCCCACTGGCCCATCTTTACATCTTTCCAACCTCCTTGTCTTTACAATGAGGATAATGTACAGATTGGAGATTATGCCTGGCACAAAGCAGTGCTCAGTAAGTGATGGGGATAGCCCTACTGTCTCTTCCACACCTGGCCCCAGGTGGGAGAGAAGTGAGGAGAGCTGGGGAGACTCACCAGTGCCTGGGCCACAGAGTGTGGGCAGCAGCAGCAGCCATGGCAGCAGGTGCGACTTGGCCATGATTCCTCCACAGCCTGGACACTGTGCTTGGGGTGGGGGCCCTTATAGCTGGGGGCGGGGGTGGGGGGCAGGGCTCTGTGGGAGTAGCATCGATCTCAATGTTTGCCTTTGCCCTGGAGAGCCCTGCAGGTGCTTGATCCCCACCTCTTCTCAGCAGTGACACTCCTGCCTTCCCTCCCCCCAAGCCTCTCTGGTCCTGGTCTCCTGCCCGACGCCTTGATTCTGCTCCCTTTACCCTCTGACCTAACTCCTGTGGGCTGGGCTCTTGAGTTCCTCCAAGCAGTGGGCTTTTGAATTTCTATATCTAATCCCACCTCTTTAGGTTCTGGGAGGGAAACTGAGGCAGGGACAGGGCAGCTAGAGTAATCCCCCTTCCAGCTCCACCCCAGGCCTCTCGGGCCACCTCTGTTCTCTTAAGAGCAATGCTCTCAAGAGCTTCCTGCTTGGCTCTTGACCCAGGGCAAGGACCGGAGGGCCAAACCCAGGACCCTTCTAGGCCACCTACCCACCATCCCCACTACATTCCCACCCCCAGAAAACTTCCCTATTTCTATGGACACAGGGTTGCCATTAGTCACAAGAGCTCTTACATGAAACAGAGAAAACAAAATGCCCCAAGAGTCTGAGACAGGAATTGTGGGGGCTGAGATTTCCTGAGTGACACTCAGGCAGTCCTGTCTGGGGAATGCTTTCATATTTCCTTTCCTGGGGTCCCCTCCAGGAGAGGCTGGGACTTAGCTGGTGGTTCGGGAGAGACCGTCCTGCAGCCACACAGGCTCTGGGGTCAGGCCCACTGGGCAGTGCACCCCAGGGACAGGCTCACCATCTGCCAGGGCAGACACTCTGTGTAAGGTGGAGGGCATCAGCTCCTGAGCCATGAGACGCTCTGATTCCAGAGGACCCCTCCTCCCAAGTAGGCTCAGAAGGCCTCTACAATCCAGGGAGCACGCAGCACTCAGGCAGCACAGGAAATAATGTCATGATGACAGCGGTCAGACACAGGATGGCCAACTGACACCCTTGAAGTCACATAGGAATTTGTGTTGTTTTTGTTGACCTCAAGGCCTGGTCAATACCACAAATAGAGCTGAGTGCAAGTGTGTGACCCAAGACTGGGAGCCCTGGCCCTTCCATTCAGCCTCAGGAATGTGGGCCTGGTCTATGTTTGTCTTAGTAAGTGGTAAATAAACAAGCTCCGTTGAATTCAGTCTGGATACAATCAGGCCTATAGGAGTGCAGAGTGGATTCTCAAATGGCTGTCTCGGAGGTGGGGGCGGGTGTGTGCTGGGGTGTGACTGCTCAGGGAGGTTTAACAGGGCCCTCAAATCTAGTGGCTTCTCACAATACAAGTTTGTTTCTCACACATGTTGAGGCCTGGGGTGCCAAAGGGCCCCGGACGTCCTTGACTTCTGTGCAGGAAGGATCTGTAGGGGAGTCAGAGTGGGTGAGATGAAAATGAGACTCTTATTGCCAGAGATAGCACACACCTGAGGAGGAGTGATTCAAGGGAGAACGCCGCTGGGTTTGAGGTTGCTGATATGTATGTTTAGAAGGGAGCTCGTGATGGGGTTTTGAGTTGGTTCTGCCCGGGGTTTTGTTTAGCAAGACTGTGTAGTGATAACAGGACCCTGGAGGTGAAACCAAGGTAGAGAGTTTAAACAAGTGGTGTTGGGCCATCTTGTCACAGAAGGTGCACAGAGGTTTTCTGGGGGGGGGGGCTTGGGGGGAGACTGAAGTTTACCTCATACTTCCCCTCAGAGATTTTGGCCCCTTTTATATTTATTTAACCTCTTAGTTACCAACCTGACGAAGACAACGGGATAGTAAAGTCCTACCCTTGAGTGCCATCCCGCTGTGTCTGTCTGTCCTGGGCTGTTTCTGTCTCACTCCCCCAAGAGCTCTTCCATTCTCTCTTCCTCCCTTCCTTCCTTTCCTTCTTTCTTTCTTTCCCCTCCCTTCCTCCCTCCTTTCTTTCATGGTTATTCTTTTTTTTAAAGCTGTATATTTTAAATTTTATATATTCTTTATATCATTTTTCATTTTTGCACAATGTATGCATTTTCATCTTGGTTATAGTCCCCATACAATTCCCACCCCCCTCCCTTGTTTTGACATTAATCCCTCCTCCCCTCTCTTTATTTAAGATTTATTTATGCAGGGTACAGGCCAGATGCGGGAGGGGAGAGGATTCACCGGAGACAGAGCGGGGAACAGAACAGGCAGACGACAGAAATACACTGCTGAGGGGAGCAGCGGGCGAGGCAGGAGAGGTCTGTCTTGCCATGTGGGACCCTTGCGGGTGGCTGGGAATCGAACCGGTGCTGCAGAGGCTGGGGACAGCTTCACAGCACTGCGCTCAACCACCTGCGCCACCAGGGGAGGCCCTCCTCTCTTTATTTCTTAAAGAAGGAGTAGAGGGATGATGGTCTCAATCTTTTCTAGCTACTTCCTGTTGGGCGTGGGTGTGGTTCCCTCCCTACAGGTGTGAGGAGTAAAATTCTCTCTCAGCCCAAGGGAGACATAGGACTCTGGATTTGGCACAGGTTGTTACCTGCAGTTGTTGAATGTTTGACACCATGTTTGAACAGATAAGACCCCACCATTAGGAGGTAAGAGTAGCTATCAGGACCCTTGCGAATAAGGAGACCCAAGGTCACCATCCTGTAAGTCTGTCCCATGGATTTGACATCCCTTGAATATTATAATCTTTTGGAGACCAAGTTGATGAAATAATTTAAGAAACAAGAGCCAAAGATCAAAAGAAGTAACCATATTCCACTAGTAGTTATAGGATTGAATGATTCCACTAATGTACAGATTAGAAAAAAGCCTTTTTTTTTTAATGACAGGAGTCCAGGGCCTGGATGCAATTTCTTTAAGGTGCTCCACCTCTGGGAAGCTACTTTTTTCTCTGGGTTTTCAGTTTCCAGCTGGTTCTGGAGCTCAGCTCCAGGTTGTTCTATCATTCTCTGTAAAAACAACCTCGGGGAGGGCCTCTCTGGTGGTGCAAGGGGTTAGACGCAAACTATGAAGCTGTCTGCAGCCTCTGCAGCACGAGTTCAATCTCCAGCCAGGGAGCTACTCACATGGCACAGCAGACCTCTCCTGACTCACCTGCTGCTCCCCTTAGCAGTGTATTTCAGTCAATCTGCCTGTTCTGTTCCCTACGCTATCTCTGGTGAATCCTCTCACCTCCCACACCTCTGGCCTGTACCCCAGTTCTTGTATGCATAAATAAATAAATCTTAAAAAAAAAAAAAAAAACCTCAGGGAGAAAAAGTTAGGTAAGATTTTTTACTTTCATGTGTTCTTTAATGTCTGGGAGCAATTGAACTATTCAGCCTCCATTACATGTCACAGTGCAGAGCATATTACAGGTTAGTGTTGCTGTTGGTAGGGAGGCTGTGGACCACGCAGTAATTCAGAGTCCCGGGTTCCTCTCCACATTTGCTGGACCAATCTCCAGGAATACCCCCTGGGGGAGTATCAGGTGGCCCTGCTCTTAGGAAGCTGGTTGTCCTGCTGAGAAAACACAGCAGACTCACCCCTAGGCCACCAGGAGACTCAATCTGAGGAAATGATGACCACCAAACCCCAGTGTTTAGTGACTAGGACCACAGAGGTTTGTTTGTTTCATGCACAAGGTCATGTACATAGTGGGTGACAAGGAGCGCTGCTCACCACAGTCCCCCCGGTTCACAAGCTGTCACGCAGCCACTGCCTTCAACACAGCATGATTTCATGGTGGCTGGCAAATGCTCTATCCCATGCTCCTGCTCAGCAGGACACTTCCAGACCTGGCAGGGCCTTGCAAACATGCCTGGCAGCCAGGAATGCAATGACGCCATTGACCAGAAGGTGGAGACCAGGAGTAAGGTGCAGAAGTGGTGTGTGAAGATAAGGGGACCCCACAGTGCCCTCCTTGACCTTTTAATACTGAGAGCATCCGTCTCTCTGCATCCCAAGTCCCATACACCTAGAGACGTTGTTGTGGTCTGTTGGTGAAGGTGTTTCTTTATTGCAGCCAAATAAGGCCTCATGCTATTTTCCACAAAGAGCTGATCTTATAGCATTTTAACTATTGTTAATTATGGTTTACACTTATTTTTGTGATTCTTGTCTTTCTTTCCTGCTGATTTGTAATCTCCACAATGGCAGGTCCCTTGGCAAGTTACCACCTTTTTGTCCTTAGTGCCTGGAGGACCATGATGTGGAGTAGGGTTCAATTAGCATCTGCCAAGTAAATTTTTTTAAGATTTATTTATTTATGCATACAAGAACTGGGGTACAGGCCAGTGGTGTGTGTGTGTGGGGGGTGAGAGGAGTCACCGGAGACAGTGGGGAACAGAACAGACAGACTGACTGAAATACACTGCTGAGGTGAGCAGTGGGTGAGACAGGAGAGGTCTGCTGTGCCATGTGTGTAGCTCCCTGGCCGGATATCGAACTCATGCTGTAGTGGCTGAGGATAGCTTCATAGTTTGTGTCTTAACCCCTTGCTCCACCAGGGAGGCCCTGCCAAGTAATTTGATGTGGTCTAAAGCTGGGTTCAGAGTCAGAGTATACTCTGGTGAATGCTGGGGGGTACCATCTGCAGGCCATCTGAGTGACTGCTGGGAGAGACATCTTCTTCAGCTGGGAAGCGACCAACGCTGAGCTTGGCCTTTAGCAGAGCCCCAGATTGGCCTCAAGGCCATGCAGAGTATTGGACAATTCTGAAAACATCCAGGTCTGCCCCCAGCCCAGCCCCAGGGACTCTTGTTCAAGGACCCGAGTAAGGATGTCTGTGAACGAGATGCTTCAGCAAAGGCCCTGGGACATGTTTGTCGGGTAACCGAACACTCTGAGACCTCAGAGAGGCGTGAGTGTTTCTGTTCATTTCAAGATAGAGCCCTCGGTGCTTTGGGGGCCACAGGGTGCCAGGGGATACAACCCAGCTTTGTAGCCCTACCAGAGACGGTCACACCCAGCAGGTCCTGGGAGCAGTGCAGAGCAAACAG